AATGCAACTCTAAACCGAATGCTCTAACTCGAAACTCACATATTTATTTATAAGCAGACAAAAATGGACTGTATAATGTATTTAAATAAAAGTATTGGATATATAAATGTTAAATTGGTTTATGTATGCTCCAAAAACTCAAAAAGTTCTGAATCGGTTAAGCTCAAATTTTAATACTAAGTATATACAATCTGGTTCAAAGATTGGTTTAATTTATTTTCCCGCGTTAGTTTTTTTCCTCATTTCCGATCAATGCAACAATAATGTGCACCAGCGAAGCGTGGCAGGGCACAGCTAGTTTTCTATATAAACCTTTAAAAAGTATTTATTTGAAAAATATGTCAATGGTTCTACATCATGATGAATTGTAATAAACTGTATTCTTAATTTTCCAGAATCGGTTTATGACTTATTGGCAGAATTCAGAGGTTAAAAAAATATCCACTGAATTAAAAACCTACTCCTTTAAGAGGATTGCAGAATAATTTTTGTTGGTATCAAAGACGACGACGAATAAGAAAGCAACTTGACCTTACAGCTTACATAAACTAGGTATAGTCGCGTGTGTGTCGGTTTTCGTTTTAAAAAGCAGCCTACGTTGTTCGCTGATAATGTAGCTTTTCATTGGTGAAATAATTTTTCCAATAGGTTTAGTGGTTTAGGCGTGAGACCGTAACAAACAAACTCACTTTCACATTTAGAAGAGAGTAACCAATATTGAACTGGCGCTTAAATTGGACCACTTCTGTACTTCTATCAAAATTTCACTATTTTTTTACACTAGCAACAGAAAAATGAACTCCACCATTTTGAAGCGCTCCTTTTTGTGCCCATATACTATTCCAAATAGTGCCATTTTGGTAGAAATACAGAAGTGGTTCAATTTAAACGCCGGTTCACTATTGGTTACTCTCCCCTACAATATAAGTATGGATTGGTATTATCAACTTTAAAGAAAATAAAACATTTCTTATTCGTCCACAGTATGTATGTATGTATTTAAAAATACATAAGTATTTATTTAGAAATATACGGGCCTGGTTCACGGCAGTAGTAGGCTTGGTTAAAATTTATAGGTAGTCGACTAAATGTGGGCGTTTATCACGTCTGTATAACCCGTCGCTTCGGGATAAAAGAAGTAAGCGTGTGTGTATATAAAACATTTTACTTACATTTTAATTAGATATCTGTTTGTTTCCCTAAATAATGAAGAATAACTTGTTGTTACTTTGACACTATAACAATTAAATTAGCGACACGCCCAACACGTTCAGTCCCAAATTATCGAATGAAATTAAGTACACCACTGTCTACAACTATAGTGCTGTTCTGTAACCCACACATTCGAAGTTGATACTCACTCAGGAAGCTCACTTCGACAGCGAACACACTTTACATTGAATTGGTTTTGTAAACATTTGATACGCATACGCATACGCACACACTTGCGAAGTGAAGTGAGCTTGGAACCAAAACTTACCTCAGATTCCTCCAGAGACCTAGGTTGAGATCATAAAGTCGAGTATGATTCACATTTTTTAAATAAAATACACATAATTTGTGACTTATGTGGACATAGACGCACATTACTCTCAATCACGGGCTCAATTACACCATAGCTTTAGAGTAGGAGTAGGGGAGAATGGGTAACAGTGGCCGACAAGGTACTGTGAATAATTCGCTACAGATTTAAATTTTTACCTGTAACGTTAATTATTATCTGTTATTATATTTATTTATTTATCGTACTTAAAGCTGGCTGCTTACTAGCTGCTTAGCTAGTTAGGTGATTATTAGGTATAGCTGTTTAAGCCTGTTGATGATGCCTAGATGAAAGGCTTTATAGTATAGTAATAGTCCACTGCTGTACATAGGTCTCTCCTTAGTAAGGACGAATAGGGGCGGTGACATGAAGGTCCATTAAGGGCCAAGGAAATTTAGTTCCAAAACTTTATAAATAGTTCTAATAGATTAAAAATGTAAAATACTTGAGACAGGTTTGTATCCACAAATATATAATATATTAGGTCTTTACCGATGAAATTGCCGTTTTGTATGCAATAAGTGAAAGTACTTATTTTTTCAAACTTTTTTATTTCTGTTATTCGAAGTAATCACCCATGCAATCGACGCATCTTTGCCAACGCATTGGCAGTTTATTGATGCCCTTCTTGCAAAAATCAGCTGGACGGGAGGCAACAAACTCTTCAAAGGCATTTTGTACTGCCTCTCGGGAATTGAATTTTTTACCCACTAAAAAGTTGTCTAAATTTTGGAAAAAGTAATAGCCGGTAAGTGCAAAGTCTGGTGTAGTCAAGTCAAGTATCTATATTTAATATCCGGCTGAATACCGGATATTAAATATGGGTACTTTACTAATCTGATAAGTCATGAGATTAGTATACTAATTATATCTGTTATGATTCACTACAAATATAATCTTAAAAGATTAAATTGAGTGAGTGGTAATCATATGATTACCACTCACGCAGTTTTTTCTTTTTATCATGGAGGGAGACAGCGTGACAAATGAGTTAGCTCGACCGGAGTGCCACCAAGGGCTTACAAAAAACTGGTAGTAAACAATTCTTTAACTACTTTTCACCAAGTGAGTGCGGCTACCCGAGCCGAAATTTCCCGTCTTCCTGACTCCGGGGGAAGTGGGAGCACATGGGACCTTTAAGTTGCAACTGTCGCCATGGCAACAAGCAGTAACTACATACATATTATAAATAAATTATATCCAGACAATGGTCGTGCTCTTCAATCGATTTTATCCTGGTTGGAAGTCAAACCCACGACCTTCAGCTTAGCAGTCAGGGTCACTAACCACCATCCTTGGTTTTCATCGGATGATTAATGCTAAAGGAGGAACCCCCTCTCACCTCCAGTCGCCAGGGGGCTTTAAGTTGCAGATGTAACAGATCTCTACTGATGTCATCAGATACTTCCAATCAGGGAGTCAATTGTGCTACTTTAATTTGGTATCAATAAACTATCGATGGAATGTAGTCGGAATAGTTTTGCATTTTTCGAATTCTACTATGTAAGACCAATTGCCTCACAATGACTTGTCACTGAACTACCACTAATATATATGTCGTAGATGTCTTTTTAATAGTTTGGTAAGGGGTACATTTTAAATCTGTAAGGAAATGATTTATATAATTTTCCAGATATGGCTATATTGTTGATATCCATTGATGAGCCATTATCACTACATCGACAGTCCAATCACATTGTCACTTTATGACAAAATACAGATATTTTGACCGATTTCAATGGCATCTCGATAGCGTGTCAATGCAGTGACAGTGGCTGGTACATTAAGATAAAATAACAGAATTGAGGCCCAGGTGACGTCTTTGCCCATTATACCGTAAAAAAATCAATGCAAGGCAATTGTAAGATGCATTTCTCGATACAATAATCGAATAATCACATCAGGTATTAGTCATGCCTGTCGGTGAATCACTTAAATAAATAAATTCGCGATAGTTGTATTTAGATTATCTTTTATTTTATTATCTTATCACATAAACAGATACGCGAAACAAGATGCGTCGAAAACAAGATAACGTGAACATTGTTACACATTTTTTGATATTTATTATATACTAGGTGTACCCTGCCACGCTTCGCTGTGGCACATTGCAGTTGTATTGATGAGAAAAAAGGACCTAAATGGGTACGAAAAAATAGATGAAAACAATATTTGGAGAGAACTAATAGAACTAAACACGAATGTAAAACTATAGTAACTGAGTGGCTTTGTAAATTGTTGTATGAGGACACGGAGACTCTTATTCATCCAACATCTTAAAACATGAGCTCATCATACTCTAACAGCCACGCCCCATAAGCACACACGCTCGCGCGCGCGCACACACACACACACGGACACACACACACACTAGCGCACACACAAATACACACCCACACACACGCACATTGCGAAGGTTAGACATTCATAATATTGGTGCTGTTCTTAGAATGGCTTACTTAGTTAAACTTCTTTAATTAACACGAATTCATTATGAACATTGCGTGAAAGGATTAGATAAATGATACAAAAATTGTATTGTAATGTATATTTGTGTCATTGGAAGGTTGCTAGTATTTATAGCTCAGGTATTACCTATTTTAAGTGTCAGCCGAACCTGTTCTGTGATGTAAAATATGCGTACCTATATAATTGTCAACAGAGTCAGTAAATATTGTAAAAGAATAAAGAATAAATAAATAAATAAATGTAAATATAGATCAATCTCAACCGATGCAGATCTTTTTGAGTTTTTCAAGCTTACATCAACCAACTTTACATGTTTCCGATCGAACAGAAGGCCTACTCGTAATAACAGTTCCGTCGAAATTCAGTACCGATCTACTCTCGATCGTAGAAGTGTTATAAAGGGTATTCTAGTAGTAAAGTATCCAACATCCAAAAGTAGTAAACATCCAACGTTGACTGTAATGAGATTATATCGTATTGACTGAATTATGAATCGGTAATCTTCTAGGTCTTAGTAATACTTTACTATTTTACTACGAAAATACCCATTATAACAATTATGAGATCGAGAGTAGATTGGAATTATTATTATTGTTTGATCGGAATGTGTATGTATGTATGTATGTGTATGTATGTATGTATGTGTAATACTTACGTTTTTTTCCTTTAAGGATAAATAGAGGGAGGCGTATTATTTTTATTGTATTATTAGGTGTAATCATCATCATCATTGGCCTATATCACATCATCCGTGTGGTGATGGATTAAAAATTCGGAGTGTCACCATACCTATTTATCTCGTTTGCTGAATAGGGACGGCAACAGTACTGCAAAGATAAGGAAAACTTGACACAAAACCGGCTGGTATAGTAGGCCAAAACCTCATTTCTAAGGAATGGCATATGTCCAGCAGTACACTATTAAAGGCTGCTGATGTGATGTGTGATAAACATCTTGCTCTTGACAAATTAGAAAAAAAAACTTGGAAATGACTCATTGGTGTGTTGGTCAGTTTATTTAATACCGTAAGTACTGAATACAATTAACAATAATCCTTTATAATACGTATTAGATAGTGGTACTAATATAATAAATAATATTATCTGATCCATATTTATTATCAACACTTAGGTATTAATGTTATCATATTATAAGGAAATACCCGAATTGGTCTAGAGGTTAGTGATACTGACTGCTGGTTCAGAGGTCGTGGGTGCGATTCTCACCCAGGACATATAATTGTGTGATGAGCACGATCATTAGTTCTTGGTCAAAGTGTAATTTATCTAGAAATTATTTAACTATTTATTCAGAAATATACAACGATGTATTTTAGCAGTCTGGTTACTCTGCCTGTTTTGGGATCAGACGGTCGTGTGTGAGCTTATTATTATAAAAAAAAGAATTATATATTTAAAAAAAATAGTGCTCCGGCACGAATGGGCCGGCTCGACCGGAGTATTACCACGAAAAACCGGTGTTAAGCAATTCTTTCACTGAGCGAGTGAGTTTACCGGAGCCCAAATCGAGCGGGACTCCAAGGGCAGCAACGCACTTGTGACTTTTGAGTTGTTGCTTACCATCAGGTGACCCGATTGCTCGTTTGCATAAAAATAATGATATATCGTTACTGGATGATAGCTAATAACTAAGTTTGTGAAATTACTGCGATCACATAGTATATTACATGTTAGCCGTTGAAGAGACATAGTAATACCAAGGCAACATAGCAAACCAGCTAATATTCCTTTCGTTGGTTTTCACCGGGTGTGCAGTTGCAGGTGTCAATGGGCAGCGGTAACCCCTTACCATTAGGTTAACGTTCTCCTCGTTTGCCCACTACTACAAAAAAATATAAAGATATCAAACCCCTAAATAAAATCCATGTTTATGTTTTGAAAAGACTTGAGATTCTTATCGATATTTCGCAAGTTGAGACTCCAATAATTCGTTTCCAGTCCGTATTTCGCGATCTCTTTAACGATAAGAAAAAAAAAGCTTTTTTCGAAAATCCTCAATCACCTTTAAAACAAGAAATAATTGTTTGAAAAAAGTAAAAGGTAGAGATTTCTTTAAATAGAAATACTAACTTTCGACATAGATTTTTTCAGGAATTAAAGTATGAAATGGGTTAAAATGGTCTGTCTTTGACCCCTCATATTATATAGGGTAAATAAAACTATGTTAATCACGATTCAGAACCTAGTAAACATTTAGCAATATAGTTCTAGTGTTTTATTGTGAGTCACACACGGCAGACCCTTGAAATCGTGTTCACCATCAACTTCGGATCATTCGTTTGTAAGTTAAGAGGTCATAGACACAGATGCATACGTCAAATTCATAACGGTCCTGTTGGTCTAATGGTACCCTGACTGCTAAACCGGAGGTCGTGGGTTCCATTCCCACCCACAACAAATATTTGTGTGATGAGCACGATCGTTTGTTCTGTGTCTGGGTGTAATTTATCTATAATATGTATGTATTTAGAAATATATAAGTATGTTTATTAGCAGTCTGGTTACCATAGCACAGGCTCTGCCTAGTTTGGGATCAGACGGCCATGTGTGAGATGTGTGAGGTTATTATTATAACAGCAAGGGGGTCGGAACGGTCTTTTTCAAAAAAAATTATGATAGCAAAATATACGAAATAAAATTAAGGAAAAATAACTTCCTGATAAAATATTACATATTTTGTGATAGCAACGTTATCAGACTGATCTGATAAAGTACTTATTATAACGTTCGAACTCCTACGCGTATTAATCTTTCTCTAACCCTTGTGACTGCTGGTTGGTTCTTCCATTACAGTGCTGAAGGTTATTCATACAAGGAACTTGAAACTTGTGATATATTATAGCTCTTATTTATAACTTTGGTCTACACAAAAATGTAAGTTTCAGCTAACAATTTAAGTTCTTTAATCTGTTTATTTCCATTTTTATTTATTAATTCGGCATATTATGAGAATCTTAATCATCAATTTGCAATCATTTTTTCCAATCGTCAGCACAAAGTTGCAAAATTATTGGCAGGTTTTTTAGGCCTTGCGAATGTATCGATTTTAGACGACAAAGGGAGAAGGTAGACTGCGGTTAGGAAAGCGGATAAGCAGAGGAGCTTGGGTAAGGGAAAGCGCAAGACTCGGATTGGGAAATAGGAATGAGATGGCAGTATACAAAGAAGGTCACGTACCCGAATGTCTCCGAATACTGAATATTTTTGTGAATTTCTAAACAAAGATTAAGAACTCTATAAGAATCTTTACTCAAAAGAGCTCCATAAAATTTTACAAAATTGAAAATTTTATAGAGTTCTTTTACCCAAGTTCAAATACAATCTTCGTGTTTTACATTTCCTTTCGTAATCTTTTAGTGTTTCATATTTTAATCTCGTTTTCATATTTCTTTGTTAACCGCTAGAAAGAAATCTCTTTATTAACCGACTTCAAAAAGGAGGAGGTTATCAATCCAGATGTTTTTATATTTTTTTGTGTAACTAGGACGGATTTTCAAAATTACTTTTTTTTCAAAGAGGGTTTATTCCGAAATGGTCCCATTTAAATTTCATATAGATCTGATGATGCGTTTCGGAGACAGACCACGGAACTTTTCGAAAAATGACAACAAATCAACCGCGATTGCTGCTAGGTTTTTAGTGCTCTTTTTAGTATTGTTAGAAATCGGTTAAAAAAATAGAGTTAATTCTTCTTATCGTTTCAAGTTCTTAGTAGCGGGACTTTTTGTCTTGTAACGGTAATTGTAACAGTCATGACACCCCGGAAGTCTCAGGAAAAAATAAATTATCCTAAAAATTCATATTAGTAGATTACAAGTATACAATATTGTTAAAATCGGAATTATTTAAGTCCGCCTGTGGCGGGGGATGAGGGAAGCACTTCCCCCCTCGAGCCTCTCGAAAGGGGTGTGTCTCCCTTTCCCAATAGTTGCCAGGCACTTGTGCAGCAGGCTTAAGTTACAGGTGTCCATGGCCGGAAGTAGTCAGTTATCATATGGGGTAAAATGTGTTTTCAGTATCTGCAAGTTATACACAAACAAAACATTTACGTTCCCTATCCGAATTTTCTGTCTTTGTCATCACCATTTTCATAGCCTGGGAGTAATAAAGATAGGACATCTTAAACGGACAGAAAAAAATATATTTCTCTCTTTTTATTTTCCAGAACAAAATGAACAAAAATTTGACAGTCAACAGCTGCTTGTCTTTGGACCTACGCACTGGATCGTTTATTTGTGGTTACCTAAATCTGGTAAGAAGCTTAGTATTACTAACAATAAGTACGGTTTAACGTAGTTACAAGGATTCTACGATTATATCAGTACACCGATTTTCATTCGAAGTAAATACAATCGATTTTAATGATTACAATAGTCACCAATTAGCAATCATCGACTCCACGGAGTCGTTTAAGCGGTCGCCACTCCGCTTCCTACTACGCTGAGTGTTGTGTGTTCGATCCTCACATGGGACGACACTTTGTGTGATTCACAAATTGTCGTTTTGAGTCTGGGTGTTATTTGTGTCCGTTTCAGGTACGTTTGTAAAGTTCTCTGCGACACAGGATGTATTCATAGTGCGGGAGTTGTCTTTGGCAACGGATTAAGAATACAGTGTCACCACCTCTGTTCTTCCCGTGGGTGTCGTAAGAGGCGACTAAGGGAACAAACTACACAGGACAATAGCACTGCAAAGAGAAGGAAATCTTGACACAAATCCTACATATTTCTTTCGCCGTTTTATGGTAAAACTAGATTGTGTCTTTACTGTATCACGTCGCTATATGTACGCCAGACTTGTTTCTATACTCAATCATTTATTGCGTTTCAAAATATACATAAATAGTCAAAAAAAGACAAAACCATTATGGACTGTGTCGGGCACAGCAAAAGGTCAGGAGAGATGAACTGCGCTAAGCAGTTTTATAAACTGGGTCTACCAATAGGGATGACCTGGTTTTGACAGCTCATAGCGGCCGTGTTTGATGATGGATCTTTGACGTCTCTTGACATTTGTGTTCAGTAAGGTTTGCCATTTTATCATGTCACGTTTCACTTTAAACCAACGCTTAGAAATTGTCCAAAATTATTACGAAAGTGACGAAGGAAACCCTGTTACTGTGAATGGCGAGCGCTATAACTCGATATTAACCTAATATTTCTTTCCGGAATTTGATGATATTGATGCAAACGACCTTTATTTTCAACAAGACGGTGCACCACCTCACATTACTCGAGTGAACATGGAAAGTTTGGTGAGTCGTTAATTTCGAGAAATGGACCGATCAGTTGGCCACCAAGATCGTGTGATTTAACACCTTTAGACTATTTTCTTTGAGGTTACGTTAAATCTAAAGTGTACAGCAATAATCCAGCTACAATTCGTGACCTAAAAACCAACATTCGACGAGCCATAGCCAACATACCAGCCGAAATGGTGCACCGCGTCATCGAAAATTGGCGTGAGCCGCGGCGGTCATTTGGCCGATATATTATTTAAAACATAAATTGCATAAAATTATCTATCAAATAAATCAATCGACTGCATTTTTCATAAAAAATTGTGTGTTTTATTCAATTTTTAAACCAGGACGTTCTTATTGGTAGACCCCATATATTAGTTTCATAAAGAGTTACAAAAAATCTTGTCTTAATTAATTATTTGTTTTCAGGCATGGCATTTAGCAATTGCAATTGTATACCTTTGGGTCATGATTGCGGCCTCATCGATACCTTTCGATGTTACAAGCGCGTTGGTCATTATAGGTATTGACCTTGGTTTCATTGGTATAAACGTGATTTTCAACGTGATGTTAATCATCGGCTTACACACGGTAAATATTTTTTAATGATGTTTACATAATAAACATTACTTCATGTGTAAAATTAAATAGTGTATACATTTTAATTATTATAAATGATTCGTTTTAAAAAACGTTTTAACACACTTTTATTAGCAGTGCTTATTACCTATTTCTTGCATGGATGGCGCTGAGTGTTGTGGGTTCGACCCCCACATGGGACGACACTTTGTGTGATCTACAAATTGTTGTTCTGAGTTTGGGCGTTCTTTGTGTCCGTTTCATGTATGTTTGTAAAGTCCCCGCGACACAGGATACATTCCTAATGCGGGAGTTGTCTTTTTAAAGAATAACTAAGAATAACTTGTTTCATAAAAGAGGATTATGATATAATAATATTAACATCCTAGGATACAATATCACTTACCATATAATTCAAATGAATAAATAAAGATAAGATATATTCGGCTTCAGTATCTCAACATGGATAGTAACCAATATTCGATATTAATCCCAAGATACTATATTCGTATGTTAAGATATGAAATGTGTCGTAATATAATAGCCACCTTAGGATATGAAATACACGTATAAACGAAATATTAAAATCATGATACAATAACAATATTACGATGAAAATCTTATAGTATCTTCGCCATGAGTGAGGTCCTTTTTTCCCGCTTCTTATTTTATATTTTATATAATTATGTATAATATTATGTAGAATTATGTTATTGTATCTTAATCCTCTGTGATATTGCGAAATGTTATTATATTTACTATACTGTCTTGAGATGAAAATCTCATAGTATCTTTGCCGTGTGTAACGCTCTTTATTGTTGTGTCAAAATCAAAAGTATTTTGTATATTCAGTGACTGCTGCGCTGAGGTCTCGGGTTCGATTTCTGGGTTGTACTAAATGTTTGTAGGATCTGCAAATATTTGTTTCGGAGTTTGGGTGTTTGCTATTATAATATGTAATAGTATTACCAAAAAATAAAGTATATAAATATTCTATCAGTCAATTTAGCTTTGATAGCACAAGCTCCGCTTAGTTTGAATCTAGATGCGTTGTGTGTCAGATGTCCGGACATCTAGACCGGGCAAAATTCTAAATGGTTTTTCTAACAAGAAAAATAGCCTAAGTTACTCCTTATATAGAGAGCTACCTGGTAGTTAAATATAATCAAAATCGGTTCATCCTTTTAGAAGATTACCCGGAACAAACAGACAGACAAAAATAATATTTAAACTGGTTTTTAAGCATAGGTATCGTGCAAATAACTATGGGTGAATAAAAAATAATATAATTTTGACATTACAAAAAGGCACTTCAATTTTATTTATTTTTATAGATGAGAACATTCGCAGTTATATTACAGTATACTTACATAATACTTTTGTGCTTTCAGCTTAAACGTGGATTCATAAACGCCTTCATAATCTATAATTACATTTTCCTAGCATTTTGCTTAATAATGTTCATCATCTATCTCAGTCTAGGAGGAGGAGTCCTTAACATCATGTTCAAACTAGTCAGTTTGTGTAAGTATTTTTATTTATTTCTTAGATTACGTACATTGTCCGTGTGGTGACGGATTAAGAATATAGAGTGTGTCCACCTCTATTCATCCCGTGGGTGTCGTTAGAGCCGACTAAGGGAGCAAACAATGCAGTACAACAGCACAGCAAAGAGAAGGAAATCTTGACACTAACCCTATAACGACCCGTCTGGCCAGCCTCCTTTCTAAGGAGAGCCCTATGTCTAGTAGTGGACCATTAAAGGCTATTGATGTGCTGATGTGATTACATTTGACTGCACGAATGGAAGTAGTTAAAGCGGTCGCCACGACGATTCCTACTGCGCTGAGTGCTGTGGGTTCGATCCCCACATGGGACACCACTTTGTGTGACCCATAAATTGTTATTCTAAGTGCAGACATAGAAAAACAATTTGTGGGTCATGAAGAGAAACATACATGAAACGCACACAAAGAACACCTGGGTGTTCTTTGTTTATGTGTATGTTTGTAAAGAACACAGATTATATATTCCTAAGGCGGAGTTGTCTTTTGAAAAAAGGTAAAAGGTGTTTATTTAAAAGTTTTACCGTTCGAGAAACATGTCTCGGCACAAAAGGTATGGCAATGATGTTGATGTCACCATTGACCACCACTTATATTACTATATCGATAGTCTATTGACACTGAATTTATGTTAGTAGAATACCGATATTTTGACCGATGTCCGTGGCATCTCAATAGCGTGTCAATGGAATTACAGTGGCTTGGCGTTCTTCGGGGCACCAGGGACTTCCTTTCTAGGGTATACCTGGTTCCCCGGCTATTAGTACCCGAGACGGCGTGCGGTTCGAGTACGACATGCCACAGATAGGTGGTATCCGAGGGGATTTCCGCACGAAAAAAAAAAAGGGGCTTGGCGTTAACATAAAAAAGCCGAAACGAGACCCTCCTTGTTTGCACCCTACAAATGCCAATAAAATACTTAGTTGAGTTCCTTTGTTCGATTTCTTCTCAAAAGGCTCAACTATTTTGAAGCTGGCGATTTTAGATCTATATGGACAGGATTTTTGTGTGTTAACGTAAATTCTTCAAGGCATGTTTCAAAAACAAAAAAATAATAATTTGGTAATCAACTTAATGAAGTGAGGGTATTCTTTGAAATTCACTGTAAATTTTAATTTTTTTCATAGTTTACTATTGTTCCTTATTTTTACCCCTCAATTATATAAATACAAAAAAAAACTAAATGTGCAAAAATATTAAAAAAAAAGAACCGACATGGGGTAAATAAAGGGACCAAAGTACGAGTGGTAGAGGCACAATAGAGGGGATCCATCGAACAGGGTCGTGTTAAAGAGATTTGTCCTCTGTTTGTTTCTATTATTAGTGTGATAGTAGGCAGTGTTCCAAGTTCCAAACATGGTCATCACAGGAGTCCGTGTCCCGAAAAGCACGTTTAGCTGTCGGTCCCGGTTGCCATAAGATCATCTGTGTCAATCGTTACGGTTTAAAAAGTCCGACACCAGTCTGTAGTTCGACACAACAATAAGCCTGAATTATAAATATATAAGCGTGGCCAGCGTGGTGTAGTAGGCCAAAACCTCCTTTCTAAGGAGAGGCCTATGTCCAGCAGTGGACTATGAAAGGCTGTTGATGATGATGTCAAAATGTAGAATCACAAAGACTAGTTTTTGAAATTTAATTTTCAATAAATCGTCAATTATCAAAATTTAGGAATGTACAGAAATTTTTCAGTTAAGAATGAGTATTGAGAGAAGGAAAACTTGACACAAACCCTATACCAACCCGTCTGGCCAGCGTGGTGTAGCAGGCCAAAACCTCCTTTCTCCGGGAAAGGCCTATGTCCAGCAGTGGACTAGTAAAGGCTGTTGATAATGATGAGTATTTATTGATCAATTTGAACATAAGTTATACAATGAATTAATATTGGTTGGTCGGTGCTTTGACGAATTTCACGTTGAGAATCATAGTCGTCGTAATAAAACATCTCATCCTTCGTTATATTTCGATATTACCCTCACAATCAATAGTTGACAATGTTTCCTAGTCTAAGCAATGGTTCCATTATTAACTTTAATGAGAATTTATTCAAGAGTTACTTGGCTTCCTGCATATTTCAATGGACAAAATAAATAGTCAAACAGAACAATTAATGTTTTATTCTTTCGTACAAAACTAGATGTCTTTGATGCCAGCTTCCCAAAAAGTGACTTAACAGCCAGCACATTTTTTAAGAAAACCCGAGTGTTGCCAGTTAAACGAATCAAATCGATTTTCAAAAACAAATACTAATAATCGTTTGATATAATTCATGAAACCTAACAAGTCTATGTACAGAACTTCGATATCGTCGAGTATGATGGCAGTCGCACCAGGTAAAAAATCGAAGTTTAGCCGTGTCGCAGTAGTATGACAACTGACCCCAACCTAGTTTGGGCAAATGCTCGGAGGATGATAAGAATGGTGGTTATCACAGGATTAACTATTGCATTTAAGTAATTATCAATTTGTTTCCTTTTCAGGTTTCACCGCTATCTTCCTATTGATAATCAGAAGTTACTATTTGAGTATGGACGATAACAAAACCGGAGCGGCCATGTACTAGATATAGAATAGTCTAGAATAGTAGATATAGAATAGGTATAGAATAGTCGGTTGCTGTGAAAACAAATTGCATTTAACAAATATTTGTATATTTCGGACATCTACCACACAACGTCACCTAGTTTCAAACTAAGCAGAGCTTGTACTATCAAAGCTAGAATAAAAAGAAGCTAGAATTAAAGTTTATGTATAGAAGAAGTGCGGAAAGCTTAAACTAAATGTGATACAAATATTTAAAAAAAAACCGGTGTTAAGGAATTCTGGCAACGGCTGGCAACGAACTTGGGACTCTCGAGTTGATTGTCCATAGACAGTAGGTAGTAGTCATTGATCTGTGACCTGTCTACTTGATTGTCTCTCTATTCCATTTAAAAAAAAAAAAACATCGTGAACCATAATATACTAGCAGTAATATTATTTTTATAAGACAAGGATTTCTTCGAAATAAGGAAAGTTGGATTATTCTTAGACTTTATTAGAATAAGGATTGAAGCTTCCTGCCTCGACGGTGTCATGGCGTCTATGTCTGGTGGTTAGAGATGCTGGCCACTGAGCCAGAGATATCCGATCTGCACAAAGGACTAATAGTCAAATAGCTGTGTGATGAGCATGATCATTTGTTCTGTCTGTGTAATCCATGTAGAATCTTCCTACTTGCAATTGTACAAACCCTGCCTCTTTTGAACTTAACTTCTAACCTTACAATATAACTTCACTTTTCTATATTATATAGTGTACCTAATTAAAGTATTAAAAATACTATAATTATACTTATATAATCAATATTATTAATTAATACTTAATTTATGAATATTACCCGTCGAACAAAAACTATGCATTCACATTTGCCAACAAAAATACGTTAAATAGTCGTATATTGAATGCACCTCTAAATATATGTTGTAATAGTTTGATACACAAACTTCAATGTATATCGTCTTTATATTATTAATTGTTGAAACTCGTAATGTATGTTTCTTTCTAATGTAATATATATATACAAAAATAATGTTCAAGAATAACTTTTTAAAGTATCATCCGTTATAGTATTATTATACTATAAAAAATTAGTGTTATTTAAAGCAAAAAAACGTATATTTATCGATTGTAATATGTTTTGTACTTTAAAATAATAGTTTCGATTTTAATACAATTGGAACGTTATATGAGTGGCGCAGGTGCTGAGGTTCTGATAGCAAAACTGTGCAATACAACTGGTTTTAGCACAGTTTTGTTAGTGTCATTTAGCGTTGATCAAATATTGATTTTGGCGGTAAATTTAATGTAATCCAAATTTAGCTGTATGTATATTTGTATCTAAGTAGTGTTTCCTTACGAGTGAAACATTATATTAGGTATCAATTGTGCGTTATCGCTTATAGAACAATATCGTCTAAGTAATTTTGACTAACTTTACAGAAGTATAAAATAATTATAAAGTAGTAAAAACTGCCTAAAGAGTTTACAATTTAGTTAGTAAAAAATTGTGACGGTATTGTGCTAGAAGCCAACGGTTTCCTTTATTGTAAACCTTTGTAAATTGAAAGTTACAAATGTAGGTTTATGTAAATTATTGTATATGTAATAACACATTATGTTACATATTATAAATAATAATATGTGTGTTTTTTTTTAAATAAACCCGATAACTTTATGGCTTTGTTTTACTTCGTTAGCTCATAAGGAGTTTCAACAAAACGAACGTCAATGTGTAAAACACAAAGAATGAGTCACTGAGATATGCGTACTACAAGTTTTTTCTCGAAATGAAACTTCTGCGAGGCAAAACATCGCCGTAACATAATTGAGCAACCGTTTCAGGGTTTTCTACAGGGCTTGTATTTCTATTGGTGTTGGAATAAATGATGCTATAACCATAAACAACAAATAATTTTTGCAATTATTTTTGTAGAGTCGTTCAATGATACAGAACCTTTAGTATATGAGTCCGACTCGATTCGCCAATTTTTAAAGCTGTTTAGGTATATCTACTGCAAACGTTTTTTGTATCCCTTATCTTTTCATTATCATTTCAAATACTATATTGCTGTGTGTTGTTCAAGGACAACACCTCTATTGATATGATAGTGGTTGATATTTTTATGTTTAACATATTACTAGAACAGTCCTAACTCCTAGATAAGAAGAATTACACAGAGCTTATACCTTATTTCTTTTAAGAACAACTCCCGCATTAGGAATATATCCTGTGTCGCGGGGGACTTTACAAAGAACACCCAGAATCAGAAAAACAATTTGTGGATCACACAAAGTGTCGACTCACATGGGGATCGGACCCACAACACTCAGCGTAGTAATAAGCGGCGAGGTAACCGCTTAAACCACTACGCCATACGTGCAGTCATGTTTATATTATATAATAGTTGTACCCTAAAACGCTGCATTAAAATTAAATTAATGAGAAATAAAACTGTCGCAATAAATTATTATTTCTCAATCATTGTATGTATCTACTTAAAAATAATATTAACATACTCACGGATCCTATTACCCACATCTGCAACTTATCGATCTCGTCTGGGGTGTTCCCAGAAGCTCTTAAAAAATCTAAAATTTCTCCGATTTACAAGGCTGGTGACAGAGACTGTGTCAATAATTATAGGCCTATCTCTATTCTATCTACTTTGTCCAAAGTTCCAAAAATATAATAAATAAATAGGAATATAACATATTTTTCCCCTTTTTACATTGATATTACAAATACACACACACACAAACACACACACACAGACAGACAGACACACATACACATTCATGCACAACTTGTAGGCAAAGACAAAAAAATTGTTCTCTTTGCTTACCTTGCTGAACCATGTTGTTGCGTGGTACCGCATTTTAGCTGTCTTTTCAATATGAAAATGATAATTGTTGTATTCAAATTATCCAGGGGTGGGGACCTGGTGATCTGTAGGACAGGCTTATGCCTATGTCAGACACCAGTTCCTTACATATACATAAATGTATGTAACCACAACCCTAAATAGAATTGTACCATGAAGTTAAAATGTATATTGTGAGGATTTTTACAAAACAAAAAAAAAAAATCTGCCTCGGTGGTGCAGTGGTAGCGTATGTGACTGCTGTGCTGTCTCAGATTTGATGCCCGGGTTGGATCAAATGTTTGTACGACCTGCAAATATTTGTTTCGGAGTTTGGGTGTTTACAAAAAAAAAGATTAAAAGTATTCGATCAGTCAATCTAGCTTTCATAACTCTGCTTAGTTTGAAACTAGATGGCGTTGTGTGTCAGATGTCCAATGTATATTATTATTATATTATTTTTATTAATACTAACAATTCTTGAGGCGGTTTGTATATCGTGACTAAATGTGAACTCAATCGGTGCAGATCTTTTTGAGTTTTTTAGGTGTATACAAACCAACATTTATATATATATACATAAAGTCCCTCATCATCTTGTTACCCTTACTCCAAATAAATTTGGGAAACCAAATTTATTTGGAGTCGGCGCAATGAATTTTCTTCTTTCAGTCTCCTCTATCACTTGTCAGTTCTCTGCTTATTCCCTTCTTAGCCATATCCTCTTTCAAGCAATCTATCCATCTTTCTTTTTACTCTAATATCCGTCAACTTCCTATTTCCAACTTATCATCCATTTGTGGTACTTTCAGGCTTCCTCTAATGTATTCATTCCTCACTTTGTCCATCTTAGCCACACCACATATCCATTTTAAGTGTATTTTATTTCATTAAATTTTTTGGAGGTAACTGCAAATTAATGTGGTCACCTACCTACCCTCAATAATATTTATTTAGCTTGCTACCGTTATACACCACAAGAGTCGGTATATCAACACTGATAAATAGTTATTAAGGACGTAGTGAATTTTTACTTGTATATTTAATTATTATTCATCATCTGCCTACCCTTTTCCCAATTTTATTTGGGGTCGGCGCACTATGTATGATTTTTTCATTCTACTCTGTCATGCGTCATCTCACTGTTTACTCCCTTCCTAGCCATATCCTCCCTCACGCAGTCCATCCACCTTTCCTTCGGTCTGCCTCTTCTCTTGTACCCTTCAACTCCCATACCTAAAACTTCCTTCGCCACATTTTCCTCATCCCTCCGCAAGATCGCAAGAGAAACGAGAACCAGAGACACTAACATTTAGTATAAATAATAATAATAATATTTTTACACATTTCACACACGGCTGTCTGATCCCATACTAGGCAGAGCCTGTACTATGGTAACCAGACTGCTGATAAACATACTTATATATTTCTAAATACATACCTCCGCATGATATCGATACAAATCGATATCGCAGCAAAAATGTGTGGTACTCGTAGTAGGTAGTATAATAATAGGTGTTATAGAATTTATCCCTGCAATTAGTGACGCTGGCATGGGACAACTATACATGTCACTATCCAACGAAGGATGAGATGTTTTATTACGACGACTATGATTCTCAACGTGAAATTCGTCAAAGCACCGACCAACCAATATTAATTCATTGTTTAACTTATGTTCAAATTGATCAATAAATACTCATCATCATCAACAACCTTCATTAGTCCACTGCTGGACATAGGCCTCTCCTTGGAAAGGAGGTTTTGGCCTACTATACCACGCTGGCCAAACGGGTTGGTATAGGGTTTGTGTCAAGGTCGGGCGCATTGAGGCGCTGGGCTTACGGGTGGCCCTAGATAAGACGGAGGCCCTGTTATTTCATGGGCCCCGTCGTGGTCCACCCCCTGGCGTCTCAATCGTGGTCAACTCGGTCCTCGTACCGGTTCGGGCCCAGATGAAATATCTGGGCCTGATCCTCGACGGGAGGTGGCTCTTCGACGAGCACTTCCGACAGCTTGCTCCAAAGCTGGTCGGCGCTGCGTCTGCCCTAGGGCGACTTTTGCCCAATTTGGGTGGACCCAGCGTCGCGACAAGACGGCTGTACACGGGGGTTGTCCGGTCAATGGCACTATACGGTGTGGGCGGCGGCTCTGACCGCCAAGAATAGGGCACGCCTCTGGCACCCTCAGAGGGTAATGGCGGTCAGAGCCATACGCGGTTACCGCACCGTTTCGACGGAGGTGGCGTGCGCGTTGGCCGGCACTCCCCCGTGGGATTTGGAAGAGGAAGTGCTCGCCGAAGTTTATCGGCGAGTGGCTGACTCCCGGGCGGAGAGCGGATTTCGCCCTCCGCCCGAAGACGTGCGCGAGTGGCGCGAAGCCGCTCGCCGAGCCACGATGGCTCGTTGGTCGTTCCGGCTGGAGACTCCACGCGCTGGCTTCGCCGCCGTGGAGGCTCTCCAGCCGGTCATCGCCGAGTGGGCAGGGCGGCAGCACGGGACCCTTACCTTCCGGCTGACGCAGGTGCTTTCCGGGCACGGTTGCTTCGGAAAGTACCTGCACTCGGTCGCTAGGAGGGAACTGAGTCCCGCCTGCCACCACTGCGACTGCAGTGAGGACTCGGCCCAGCACACGCTGGCGGTCTGCCCCGCATGGGCGACGCAGCGCCGACCCCTCACTGCAGTCATCGGAGTGGATATCTTGCTACCGGCCGTAGTACGCTCCATGGCCGGTAGCGACAGTTGTTTTACCGCGGTCGCAACCTTCTGCGAGGAAGTAATCTCGCAGAAGGAGGCGGCGGAGAAGGCCCGGGAGGACGACCTCCACTCGGACCCGATCCGCCGCCGGCGGACCGGGCGGCGGAGGCGCGCTTATCACCGCCTCATGCCGCCCTGAGTGTGGCCGCGGGTGGACGGGGTGGGTTTCCCCTCCACCCGCATTAGTTTGGCCAGCCGCGAGGGGGCGGCGTCCGCGTGTGCCGGACGTCGCCTAAAGAGAGGAAAATTTTGAGACGGAACCCGCACCAGGAGCGGGCAGGCGCTAGGAGGGGTCCGGATGTCTTAATAACAGCTGTTCCCGGATCCCTCCTATTACAGGCGCAGAGTGGCACACCGTGTGGTTTTAGTCGGCCCGAGTCCGACACACCACCCCGGTGGGGTGACGGTCTGAGGGGATTTCCACACGTTAAAAAAAAAAAAAAGGGTTTGTGTCAAGTTTTCCTTCTCTCTGCAGTGTTGTTGTTCAAATAATTGTGTGATAGCATGCTGATTTGTTCTGTGTCTGGGTGTACTTTATCTATAATATGTATGTATTTAGAAATATATAAGTATGTTTATCATCAGTCTGGTTACCATAGTACAGGCTCTGCCTAGTTTGGGATCAGACATCCGTGTGTGAAATGTGTAAAAATATTATTATTATTATTATTTATATTAAATGTTAGTGTCTCTGGTTCTCGTTTCTCTTGCGATCTCAGGTAGGTACAGTCGATTATCAATTTTGCAGAACGTCAGGATTGAGTAGCCAAATAATGCGTTTATTTACTAAATCCACCCAATTTTACCACTTTCTCCTGATGCTACAAATTCAAACACTTGCTACTAAATGTTTTTGGAGTGGAATATTTTGATTTTACTTTCAAAGCAATTCACGCTCTTAAATAGAGATTAAAGAGCTACATAACAGTATATTCTTGAATATCAACAGTACTGGATTCAGATTTTTTGTAGGCTCTACACCCAATTACTACTAAATTAAACATTTTTTTAAATATATATTCAATTCAGATCCTTAGATCGAGGAGCCACTTTTACATCGATATAACTTTGGATATATCCTACTACAAATTTCAGAATTTGTCCTACATATTTGTTTGCTTACCTACTAAATAAGGGGTTAGCTTGCGTTTAAAATCCGTTTAAAATCTGAAGCGGCCTCAATCCATACGGACATGAAAAACTATACCAAAAAAATATCTGTATAGTTTGGTTCTTTTTCGTTTCTCAAAGATTTTCTAAATGAAAAGAAAATAAATAGATAGGTTAAATATCAAACCGTTTACTGTACCGTTACCTTGTAACCGTTTACCTGTATTTAGGTACCTTTTTCGGCCTTTACCTTGAGTGGTTAGCGCTTTAATAATATAAGGTTTTAGCTGTAAACAATTACACTTTATATTTTATAATTTAGTTATAGTACAGGCAACGTATATACCTAGTCATTTTTAAGTAATAATAATAAAGTAAAAATAATGTATTTGTTGTTAACAATTGAAGTTTACAAACATAATTTCATGGTTGTTATATTACAGTAATCACCAATGATGCACTGCTGATACTTAAAAAGGAAACCCTGTACTATAAGTACCAGCAACTCTTATGGCACAGTTTCGTAATACAATGCTTCCACAGATACACAATTTTACCACAGAACATTAGAAACAAATTCTGTGGCTACTATCGTTGAATAAAAATACGATTAAAACTAATTGGTTAGTTATTGAAATTAAATGAAATAATAATGTGAACCTAGTATCTTAATAGTTATGAGAATCTTTTGGAATTGGCAGTGAGTGTGCGTGTAAGTTTGTATGTGTGCGTGTAAAAGAGAGGGCTTGTGCGTGTGTATGGAAGAGTGTGCGTGTGAATGTGGAGGGCTGCGTGCATCTGTTTTATTGTGGCTATGATTTGACTGGATGAAGCAAATTCTCTGTTACATCATAGCTAAGTGTACGAAGGCAATCAGAGACTACCTTCTTACAGTGGTGTTTATTTTTAGCAACAATATTTAACACCTTGCTCAGATTGTTATACAAAAAACTTACGAGAAAGCTAACAAATCTGTGGCTGAAGGAGGTCTTGCGAGTCTCATTTGGGGGCAGTCTAAACCTACGTGATGGTTGTCTTCGGGATGTTATAGAAGAATACTCTACTAATTTTTAAGTATTTATTTAGTGACATTATATGTATCTTTATTTTGTTTTTGAATTAAATAAGGAGATAATAAAAATAAAATAAGCCAAACCAGTTTTCAAATGACTGAGGCTTGACGACTTGTGTTGCTCCTATACATCTGCGTTCTTGTAAAAATATATATTAAATTAAAGTAATTTTCCATTTCTGGAGAATAGTACTTTATATATATATTCTACCACATTCACACAACGCTATCTAGTCCCAAACTAAGCAAAGCTTGTACAATGGCTACTAGATAACTGGTATAAATACATATATACTTTTTTTGCAAATACATACTTATTATACATAGAACACTCAGACCAAATCAAACATTAAATGTTCATGCACACATGAACCACATGAGCGGGAATCGAACCCGCGACCATTCGGTCGTCAAATTCTTTGTTTCTTCTTCTTTGTTACTTAATAAAAGATATCCCATGCCTATGTCTGTTTACCCCTGGCAACGTGTGCCTATGCAAAATTTCATAAACCGCACGGTAACAAATAAAAGACGAATATACATACATCAATTTATATATTTTAAATATAAACTAAATCATTTATTACAACATATCAGTCACAGTAACGTAATATGAATTTCTTACAGATATTGTGGGTTTTTGGTATTTGTGGGTATTTGCTTCGGCACAAATGGGCTGGCTCGACCGGAGAGATACCTCGGCCCACAGAATCATCAAAACCGTGTTAAGCCAATTCTATGGTTACTTTTCACCGACTGAGTATGAGTATCGGCTCCCAACCCTCTCCACTTCTCCAGGGAGGAGAGAATTCACTTTTTTTTTATTCCACTTAAAAAATATTATACAAAAAAATATCTGTAGTTAGCGAAAGCTAGGCTTTCGCTAACTACAGATATTTTTTTAGTAGTTAGCGAAAGCCTAGGCAAAGTTTAGATAGGTAGCGAAAGTTTAGGATTTCTATTTCGCACTTTTCGATTATTTCAGTAATTTAGAAAGAATGCACTAAGAGCAACTAGGAAAAAAAATTTGGTTGGGATATCCAGGGCGGTCTTGCCCCCCTACATCTACGCCCTTACAGAAGACGTTACAGCTAAAAAAATATTACTAAATACTAAGTACAACATACTTGCAGATTAAGTACTGTCTGACCCAATTTATTTAAGGTACGCGTTTTATTTATCTTCTGTCTTAAGTTAAAGTCTTTCTTTGTCTGTCTTAAGTTATTTTCATTGCTCACTATTTCTTTGTATTAATCAAAGAAAACAGGCACTTTTTACAAAAGGTAAATGATCTAAGGGCCTAGGGTGAGTTTCACATCAACGTTTGGCTGGCCTGCACTGAAATGTTCACCAATCGCAACGCCAAACGCGCTCGCCTTCGAGAACTCACACAAGGCCTTCTGATCTGAATCACTTTGAACTTATTCTTTAATATTAGTGATTTGACTGACTAAACATGTGTATCATGGGATAGTGTTATTTGTTCGAAATGTATCCCTTCTACCAATTACACCACAATGGTGGTACCATTGTTTCCTTTAAAAATCTTAATTGATAAATCTTATACTCACTAATTGTCGATTGTTTAAAAAAAATGTAACAAGGCTTGTAACAGTAACTTACTTCTTTGTAACAGAGATCTCTCACAGTAGGACCAATAATCCATGATATTGGCACAATTGAAACAATCACAATATGGCGGCAATATAAAATTATATGATTAATCAGAATCTAATTCAAATTATTTTCTTATATATGGACATTTTACTTAACAGAAGTTGTATCTTCATGTTCACTACGTGGTGTTACATAGCCTTCAACCTATTTTTAAAATAATTTTGACAAAAATTTTCTGCCTGAAATGTCAATTAAGCGTCAAAATACACAAGCACTAGTTTAATTTCAGATTACATAGAACTACAGGTCTGTTACATTCACCTGGGTTCTTAATATTTATTTAATAGCCCAACAATTACATAGGACATGACGTTATCACAATCAACTAAATAGATAATGCATAACATAGGTCATCCACGGTTGCATTTAGGTACTTTAAAACTCATCCTTACTCTCCACCCACGGGAGCTGTGTAATCCATCTTCATGTAATAACTTCTGATGACCACCAAATAGTAGATGCTGAACACTGAAAGAAAATACAGAAGTATGGTGAATTCATCGTAAAAAACAGCACTTTGAAATTGGAAATCTCCTCGAACCGACACCCCATCGGAGTTTGCAGAGGGCTGTATGTGGAATGTATCCGAATGAAACGACATGGTGTGCCAAACTGAGGATGGATCCGGGAACAGGTTTTAGTAAGCTTAATTTTACATTCGGATACTTGAAGTTTGAGCCAACCATATGCGCAAAGGCAACTCCACATGGAGCAACTAGCGGTGGTCACTGCTGAACTACGGCAACCGATTGACCCAACGCCAAGCAATCGGAAGAACAGGGCCGAAGAAAACCTCTACAAAAATTTCCACCTTATCAGAGAGAGTCCGGCGAAGGGATTTTCCAGATAGTCACAAAAAAAAAGCTCTCCACTACTCTCCAATTTCAGTAATTGAAGTAAGTTTGGTTTAAAAAGTTTTAAATTGTTATAATATAATATAATTCTATATTCTACTACATTCACACAACGCCATCTAGTCCCAAACTAAACAGAACTTGTACTATGGGTACTAGACAAATGATATGAATACATATATATATGTATATATATTTGTAAATACATACGTATTATAGATAGAAACATCCAGACCAAATCAAACATTAAATGTTCATGCACACAAAAGTTTGACTTGAGTGGGAATCGAACCCGCGATATTTGACATCACAGTCCGTTACACAAACCACTGCGCCATCCGGGCGTCGTGTCTCCGTCTCTTTATATCTGAACTACTTACCGACTGACCGCGGCCTTAATAATCAAGCAATTTTAGACGTAATAAAACTACTTACACAAGCTAAACAGATTTTGCACAATATTACTGGCCGGTGCACCTTTTGCAATACTCGCGATGAAATCAACAATGGCAAATATGATGAAAATGCACGTGTAGATCAGGTAAGCCTTAATATATCCACGCTTGTGCTACAAAAGAGAAATATAAACATTTACAAAATAATCCATATCGTATATATATATCGTTTTAAAGGGGCACTTTAGGTTTTAAATGGTAAAATTAGGAGTATATTGAAAAGAATTGGACGCTAAATCCCAGGGTTATGATCGCATACCTATAACTCAAATTGGCTGATGTTTTTCAGTGTTTTGCTTGGAAAGTGCGGTATGGTAAGAGAACTCTTTTAGCATCATACTAAATATGTATACATATAGTATACCTATAAAATCGTCAGAAGACATATTTTTGATTTTTTGATCTTTTCAAGCAATCAGTTTTGCTTGTGCATAATTTTGATACAATGTAAAGCGACTGCTTTTGTGAGACGATGGCAGACCACGACCATCTTAGTGTAGCTTAGTTTCTGCCCTAGATGCTGATGCATGATTATTGGGTACGTCTGCTTAATAAGACAGCCTTTTCGCTTTAACTCCGCTTTGGTTATCAGGACTAGTAATATTATAGTTGCCTCATTCGCAATTCAGTGGGCAATTTAGTCGCATATTACTGGATAAAAAAGCTTAAACTGTCATTAAACAGTGTACTTCGCAGAGATAGCACAAAACTATCAAGGCCTAGTAGGATAACTACGAGCATTCTTGAACGGTAACACGAGTCATGCTTACTAAATATTTATCTATGTATGTAATATGTACCTTGTGTATGCCAACAAGCAGCAGGCAGGTGACCAAAAGGTTTACAATGACAAATATTAAGGCGATTCCTAGAAGGGCAAGAGTTAGTTCCGCTGCCATCTTCGTGTCTTTGTCTGACGTATCAGCCGCTATTTGTGCAGCAGTGACCATTGCCGCAATCAATGTCCCTATGACCAAAACATTCCAGATCTGTAAACAAATTAATATTTTAGACTGAACTGCTTGAAACTTGAAACAGAATAACATCTATTTGAAACCGTGGAATAGCCATGTTTCGGCACATTAAGGCATTCGGCATATTAAGTTAGTACACGGCACATTAAAATTTGATACCATGGCATTACAGATATGTGTATATGTATATTTGTGTTTTCGTCATGTGTTGTGTTGTATGTGTGTATATGTATAAGTGGCTCCTTGGCTGAATATCATATTCTCAAAAGACCACATTCGTAAAACACGATATTCGCAAAACATCATATACTCATAACATTATATTATCTTATATGTTAGATGTTTTGCGAGAGAATATGATATTAAACACGGAGCGGTATAAGTTTATGTATGCAGTGAACCGTCTATATTTTCATTGATTATATGTCATAATATGTAAGCTGTGTGCACCTACTATACAAGACTTCCACACCACCCAAAGGTTGACTGGCAGATTCTCTGCCTTAGAACGCCGATGTACAAAGTGCATAAAGTTTAAAAAAAAAACTGGTGCTAATCAATTTGCCCACACACGACCCTAATTTTGGGGGAAATGGGGGCACTTAAAAGATGCCGTTGCACTTGTATCTTGCAACCAGACTGGTCTGCGCGTTTCCCCCAAAATTAAAGATTTTTTTTAACAAAAACATCAAATTACTTACGAAATTCAGATATCCAATGATTAGGGATCCCGTCCTCAGCCCCACAAAAAAGCAACAGTTGTTCACTTCCAAAGGCATTTTCGTTCTGAAACAAAAAACACAATGTTTTATTGCCTTACTGATGATGATGATGACTGTATTTGTTCTTTTGTCCCCCGCTTTGCTAAGGACTTCCCCCAGATTTTAAAATGTTTCTTACTAATCTAATAAAAATAGATACACTTTATCCCGTACCAAATACTACAAAAACAGACAGTAGGATTCAACGAAAGCCGAGACCGACAGCGAGCGATTTGGGAGGGTGACGCGAAGTGAGCAGGTTATAATTAACTTAAAGTAGAAGATGTCACAATGGTGCCGTCCTGTGCCGCCCCATTTATACATCTACACAAATAAATAAAATTGAAGTGTCTGTTTGTAATGTTAAAATAATAGGTTTTATTCATGCTCACACGATTATTTGCACGATACCTATGCCTAGAAACCAGTTTAAATATTTTTTTCTGTCTGTCAGTCTAACTGTTTGTTTCGGGTAAGCTTCAAAACGGCAGGACCCATATTGATAATATTTTACAACCAGGTAGCTGTCTATATAAGGAGTAACTTAGGTTATTTTTTAACCGACTTTAAAAAAGGATGAGGTTGTCAATTGGGATGTTTCTTTTATGCACACATAACTCCGTCATATATTTACGGATTTTCAAAATTCTTTTATTTTATTCGAAAGAGGTTTATTCCCAAATGGCCCCATTTAAATTTCATATGGATCTGATGATGAGTTTTGGAGACAGACAACGGAACTCTTCAAAAAAATGACAGCTATTCAACCGCGATTGCTGCTAGGTTTTTAGTGTTCTTTGTTAGTATCGTTAGAAGTCGTTTTTTTTATAAAAGTATTTCATTAAGTACCGTACTAATTCTTTTCCATGCGGAAATCGTCCTTCGGATACCCCCCACCGGACAGCCGGTGGTTTGGTTATGAATTTCAATTCCGATGAAGTTTTTTTTCCTATCCTAATTTCAATGAGTTTAGAAATCATATTGGGATCACTTAATTGGGATACAATAATACCGTGGCATGTGTGGCATGCCGCGGGACACCGCAGCATCTCGGATCATGCGGTCGCAGGAGTATAGCCCCCCTCACTCGCAATCAAGGGCAGAAGACAGTCAATCAGTTGCGTCTGCGCGAATACAAAGTTGGTTGCGTCGTTCTGATTTACTGGGATTTAGCATTATTAGCAGTTTTTGGTGAAGATGAAAAGAGACAAACACAAACTGATATATTGAAGCAAAAACAATTCATGGGTACATAGTTTTTGGAGAACACGAGAGACACTGTGTGTCCTTAGTCCACGCGCCCAGCCCAGGCTGCATCCCATTTGCCGACAACTCCGCCCTATCCGGCTTAAACCTTATTTTAATTAGTTTGGATGTCATATGCCAAGACGTGACGCGGTGTAATTGTATCGAAAAAGTTAAAAGTAAATTAATTTGAATTTTAAACACATTGAAATAAGGATAAAAGGAACTTGATCAGAAATAAAATCCTCTACCGAACCGTATCGTGTCGCGACATTAGTCAGCGCCGGCCCTATTGCGTGGCTGGGCTTTCTGCGAGATGCCACGACGACACGCTGTATGCTTTGGCATGCTGCTTCATACCAAAGTATCCTTCGGCTGCTGAAGTACACCCTGCCGTGCCTTGCTTTGCCGCGACGTTAGTCAGCACCGGCCCTAACACCGTACGCGACGCCATCTCGAGCAACCAAGTGTAACATAGAAAGGAAACAGATGGTCTTCAGATATGTAGTGACCACGGTTTCCCCTCCCTGTCCCTAAAGGCGCTTCGGAGCGCGTCGCGCGGCTTATGAAGGCCGGAGATCATTCAGCGACCATCAGTGCTTAAGCCGCCTGCAGTACCTAGTTCGTTCCCGGGCCTGGTGAGCCGGGAGAGGGTTTTTAAGTCCCTCCCTGTCCCACTTCGCTCCGCAGGAGTTAGTCACTCCGTACCATGGTCGCAATCAGTCACGAGGTCATACCTCTGCTCCATACATGCTGGATATTCTGGCAGCGTATAAAGCGTCATGACCATAACGTTTAATAAAGTAATTCGAAGCCTACAAACATTTGCATTTATTTTTGTTCCAATAGATGAGATGATACTATGATGAGATAAAAAAAAATTAGACATGCAAATTTCATAATTTCGAAGTTTCGTTTCATTTCGATTTCTGTTTTTGAAAATTCCGCTGAAAGAAGTCGCGGGTACCAACTAGACTTAAATATTTACAGTGGGCTGTCTTATCTCAACTTCCTGTGTAACTCCCTGGGTGTTTTTTTAGGGCTCTGTAACTGAAGTTAACGCCGTGACAATCGGATTTGAAGTCCGAATAACAAATCAGAAAAATAAACAAAGAAAACAACACATAGTACATTTAATATTAATATACTATACTCAATAGATTAGAAATATAAGTACTACATAAAAACTAATTTTAGCATAAAACGAGTGATTGTATTTAATGTCCTTCGATATTGAACGCATAACATTTATGTACTTGTTAGGCTGTGAGTCACAATTATTGATACCACCACTATCTTGTTATTACAGGAGTGATAACACCACAGTGATAATGTCACCAAAATTCTAGGTATTAGGTGTTTTTTGTACAAAAAACGAGTGCTAATATAAATTGTTACATCGTCGGAGTCGAGTTTCGGTATATTTCGGTCAGCTCAAATAATACAGCTTTACATAAAAGCAATGTGGAGGTTACTGGAGGTACAATCCTATTCTAATTCTGAAGAGGGCACCCAAAAAGCTGCAACGAATTTATGACTCCTGAATTGCAGCCGTCAATGGGCATTGTCTTTTGTCTTTTTGTCTTTTAAAAAGACAACTCCCGCATTAGGAAAATATCCTGTGTCGGGAATCTTACTAACATATGTACATGAAACGGACACAAAGAACACCCAGACTCAGAACAAAAATTTGTGGATCACACAAAGTGTCGTCCCATGTGGGATTTGAACCCACAACACTCGGCGTAGTAGGAAGCGGCGTGGCGACCGCTTAAACCACTACGCCATCCGTGCAGTATCAGTATCAGCTCGCTTGGTTCCTACACCACAAAAATTCACCACGCCACTGATGGTTTTAAGTGGATGACCATTGATGGAACGCATTTTTTGGATGGTACTTTACTTTTGGTCTTCATGGATGTAATAAGACTTTTTACATGAATACTTTACATTTAACATAATATTCATCCTTACTTTACATTGTTAAAGTGAGCTTGTTTGTTTGTTACCCTTTCACGCCCAAACCACTGAACCGATTTGAAAATTCTTTTACCAATGGAAAGCTACATTATCAGGGGCAGGGGATAACAGACATACACGCGGGCAGAGCCACGCGCAAAAGCTAGTACAGTTATAAAGAAGGCACACAAAATAGTTTTAGAATTTAACCTTGATAATTCGACTCTAGGATACCCCGAACGGCAATTTTAACAAAGTTTTTTCTCACAGGAAATGATGATACTCTGTAGGTAATAGCCGACTTCTCAGACTTTAGTTATTGTATTTATGTTTTTATCCGATTAGACTTCAAATACAGGTTATCAATTCGGCTGTTTTTTTGTGTGTTTGTTATCTAAGAACTTATTTTTAGAATTTGATACTTTGTACTTTCAAGTAACTGTTTAAATTTTTGCCACGAAGTTCTTTATCGCGCGTTACACGCTTTGAGTTGATGGCAGCGAGACCGAAAAATGTGTAACAAGACTTTTTAAGCTATTGCATAGCTTCTATCGAGGGCCTTGAGCGCGGGGACCGAATCCAGAAATTCCGTAACGAAAAAAACCTCACGCTAAAAACAAAACAAAAAACAGTACCAAAATCAAATGCTGAACGTCAAAGGAAATTTCGTCTTTTATTTAATAAAAGAAAAAAAATTGTTTTCTTATCGGTCACCAGGCTCAAAAAGTGTAACTTGAATTAATATCAAAGAAAAAGAAATACTGCATAAATAAAATAAATAAATAATTATAATTGCATAAGTTGATACAAAATGCTATGCAATAGCTTTACCGCGGCAGTCCCCGAGTGCCACACGTCTTTTTTTTTCTTTTTATACGTCTACCAAAAAGCGAAAGGACCTTCGTTCATATTTATATACGTATTAATTTATAGGTAGATTATCTATTTCATTCGTTTATGCTATTTGTAGAAATCATGTGTGACTAGATTACTTTATGTGCCACTGGCAAAAACTAGTAGGTACAAGCGGGCGGACCGCGTGTATGTCAGTTATCGCGGTGAAAAGCCTGTTTCTCAAGAATCAAACTATCTCCATGGTTAATTCCATCTAAATCGGTTCAGCGGTTATTGATTCCCAATTAACTACCCCTCTTTTTACCCCTTTAAAAATGATTTCCCGGATAAAAAGTATCCTATGTGCTTTCCTGTGACTTAAACTATCTCTATAGCAAATTTCATCTAAGTCAGTTCAGCGTGAAGAGGTATCAAACAGACAGACACTCTTTTGCATTTATGATATTAGTATGGATATGGAAGTATGATTCGTACTTGTTTTTTAAAAAAAAGAGTATTGTTACACGGTTGATGTTTTACAGTGAGAGAGCCTTTTTTTTTTTTTAATTTTACTGTTATCAGATCTACTATTATTTGTCAAGTTTTATGTATAAAAGTATTTAAAAGTGGTTAATAGTTTTCACATGTTGAATAAAATCAGTTTTTTTTTGCCATAATTAACGATTTATTTATCAAATCAATTAAAACGTAAGCACTTCCTTCTTTTTCGTTATCATTTTTATAAATCAAACATAATTTCATTTAAAATAAATTAGATTGCTATTTTTTAATTTTAGTCATTACTAATTGGCTATTTAACGAACTGATAGAACTTTTTTCTTTACTTTATTTTATGGTAGATGGGGCAGACGAGCAGACGAGTCACCTGACCTGATAGAAAGTGACTACCACCGCCCATGAACGCCTGCAACTCAGGAGTCACAAACACTATTTGTAACCATTCCTAGAAATCATGACTA